CTGGGGGCTCGTCGCGCTACGCTCGCGGCGTAGCGCCGCCCGGCTGCGCAGGCTCCAGTGGGCCCGTCGCGGTTGGAGAATGCGCAGCGCCGCTGGGACGGCGTAGAGGGGCGGGCGACGTCAGCGGCCCGAAGACGCCGGGTGGGAGGAAGGAGCGGGTGGGGGGGGCGCGAGGGAGGGGAGCTGGGGGAACAAAGCTTTGTTTACATGGGTTTTAAAGGCACCGCGCTCGCTCAGGCGGGAGGCGCGCGCTGGCGTGGGAGCCGGCCCACTTTTCTGCTGCTGCGTGTGGTGAGAGCTGCTGGATGATGGCAGGGCCGTCCCCGGGGCAGTGCTCTCTTGCCCATGTGTCTTCCCCTTGCCTTGCCCCGGACCCCAGCACCCCGATCCTGCCGCGCAGCCCGGGTGACACCACTCTGGAGAGGGTGGCCCCCGCCCAGGATACTTGCGCTATTCATTCCTTCCTAACGCAGTGTTCTCTACAGGGTCGAATTAGGTTTGTGTCTGTCTAGCTTTCTGTTCCCGTGGACCAGGGCCGTTGCTCTCCGATCTAGGTGTCAATCCCAGTAGCGTTCTCCTTGCTTTCAGTTCTGTCCTTCTCTGTAAACAGTCATGGACGTCCAGTAGCTGCCAGATGATGATGACCAAAACCTACAGACGGCACCGAGTTAGTCTTCTGAAAGTGATTGTTATGTTAACAAATATTCGAGGTGCTTCCTAAGTGGGGCAGGCTCCTTCGTAAGAGGTGATGGGGGTGGTGGTCAAGAGCCCTGGGCTCAGCGAGTGGGAAAATCAGCGCTCTGGTCTGATGAGGTCATTCCCTGCACGATGAGGCCAGTGTCACCTTTTCCCAGTAGGAACTGTGTTCGACAATGCGGGTTCCTGTTTTCCGTCGGATTGTGCCTTCCTTTTAGGGCCCCTGGATTAGATTATAGCAGGATTGCGGGGAGGTATCGGTTATTCGAAACTTACATTTACTGGGGAACACCACGTGCATACGATGCACATGGTAGGGTAGTGGATTGACCTTTCTGTTGTGGATATAATGGGCTAGTGGTCAGCGTTCATTTCAACCTCGGTCTACCTAGTGTGTCTGTCTTCCTGGATTGAAAAGGTAGGACACCTAAAAACTACATTACCCAGAAGTCCGTGTAGCTAGGGTTCTGTATGCAGGTTGGCTCAAGCAATGAGACTGACTCAGGATTTAGGAAGCAGAAGTGAGGCAAAACTTTTGACTGTTCTTCTGGGGAGCCCTGGTCACATATGTTGTTTTCTGTGAATGTGGATTTGCAACAAACTTCCGGTGTCCAATCGTTACCTCCAGGGGTGGAAAGGGGTAGGGGTGGTGGAATCAGGGGCTTCTGACTATGTTACGTTACAGTGATATGTTGGAGTTCCAGCCGCATGGCTGCTTTTGGATTCCCTGCTTGGTTGATTGATTAGAGGTTATGACATAGGGGAAAGAAACTCCCAGCCTACTAGATGCCCAGTACAAGTTCGTGTTCTCTAAAATCAAAGAATGAATTTTAGGAACAACAGAGGTTAAGAGCAGAATATATTTATTGGGGGAAAGAAAGCTTCTGTCTGAGAGAGACGGAAGGATTCCAGGGTGGGTTGCCAAGGACCCTGGCTTTTCTGGAGACTTTTATAAAGCAAATCTACGAGGTGGGGTGGGTCCGAGGTGGGGTGGGTCCAAGGTGGGGAAAAATGGGAGCTCGTAAGGTGGGCATGAGGTGGGACAAAACTATGGTCAACCAATAAGATTATAATTGCTCAGGTACAGTTGATTAAATAGGGATCAGCTGGGGAAGCCAGTCACGACTGGCAATTGGGCATGAATACAGAGCAGGAGCTTTTCCTGTAGGGGGTTGGGTTAGTGGCTCTTCCTGGCTTTCTCAAGGTGATTGATACCTATTTAGAATATCAATCCCTGATGTTTATCCTTAGGAAGTATGTGGGTGTATTCCTTTTATCTTTTGTCTTGAGATCTGGCCCAATGCGGAGGTGCCTGTCTTCCCCCACGGTTGCAAGGTATCTAATGCACTGGCTCCTTCAAGGGCCTAGCCCTGCCTATAATATTTTTATCTAATTTAGGTGCCTATAACAGTTACAGTTTCCTGGTGAGCCAAACACAAATCCCCCCCACTGCATACATTTATTTCTTTCTCTTCCCCTTCACCCTTCTTCTCAAAATAAACATCAAGAGTCCGGGAGGTGTCCCCCACCCTAATGCTTTTCTCTGCATCTCGTCAGCCCTGGAGATTAAACTGAAGGCCTTCACACTGAGCTGTGTCATCCCCTCCCAACTTTTTTCTTTTTTCTTTCCTTCTCTCCTCCCCTCCCCTCTTCTCCCCTTGAGACTGGGTCTGCCTGTGTAGTACAGATTGGCTTTGAGGATTGGCCTTGTGTAGTACAGATTGGCCTTGTGAGGGCGATCTGGCTGCGACATCTGTCACCCCATTGATCGCCAGGGTTGATTCGGCTGATCTGGCTGGCTAGGCGGGTGTCTCCTTCCTCCCTCAATGCTCCATATGCGTCTCCCCCAAAGCTGCACGCTTGGTTGAAGTGGACGACCACCCCCAATAGAGGAGGACCATTCCTCAGTCAAGGGTATACGAGTAGCTGTTCTTCCCTGCTAGAACTTCCAAACAAGCTCTCAAGATTGGCCTTGCGCTAATGTAACCCAGGGTGGCCTGGAATTTAAGGCAATCCTCCTGCCTCAATCTCCCAAGTGCTGGGATTACAAGCATGCACCACCACACCCAGCTACTATTTTGAGACATAGTCTAGATAAATTGCTAAATTGCCTGAGGAGGCTCAAGTTTGAGGTATTCCTCCTACCTCAGCCTTCCGGAGTGCTGGGTGTACGTGTATGTGCACCACACCCAACCAGAAGTTATTTTGATTCCTCACTCTTTTTAATCCCCCACATCTAATTCACTTCCAAATCCTGTTGAGAAGCTACATCTGATGTATACCCTAAACTAGCCCTAGCCAGGTATGGTGGTGCACACCTGTAATCCCAGCACTTGGGAGGCTGAGACAGGAGGATTGTTGGGAGTTCGAGACCAGCCTGGGCTACAAAGTGAGCTCAAGGTCATCTTGAACTGCATAGCAAGACCGTGTCTCAAAAAGAAAAAAAAAAAAAAATCCTTATATACTGGATGGTGGCACATGCCTGTAATCCCAGCACTTGGGAGGCTGAGGCAGGAGGATTGTTATGAGTTTGAGGCCAACCTGGGCTACAAAGTGAGTTCAAGACCAACCTGAACTGCATAGTGAGACTCTGTCTCAAAAAGACAGAAATAAATAAAATAAAATCCTTACTTGGCTTCTGATTGTATTTAGAATCCAAATCTTTGCAGTAATTCAAGATTAGACCTTTACTATGCCTCCCCTTGTCATTCTAGCCTTATATGTAGATTGTATTATAGGCCATTTCAGAAGGGCCTAACCCTCCCACCCCGTTTTTTCTTCTAGTATTAGGAGTTGAACCCAGGGCTCTTGCACTGAGTTATCGCCATACCCCTTTTTATATTTTATTTTGAGTCAGTATCTCACTAAGTTGCCCTGGCTGGGCTTGAATTTGTGATCCCCCTGCTTCATCCTCCTAGAGTGCCGGGATTACAAGTGTGTGTAACTGGGCGTGGCGGCGATGCTTTTTCTTCCTGTCACTGGTGCCTAGAGATCCTAAGGTCCCTGATTCTCTGCGTGTCTGTGCCCCTGCTCCCAGGACTCCCCTGAGGTTACACAGAAGGCCCTGGGTTTGTGCTTCGACTTCAGAATCCCCTCAAGTCCTGCTAGGTGAAGCAGAGCGTGACAGATGGTGGGTTCCTCCTGGTACTGCTGTGTATCTTCTGCAGACAATGGCTATAGGAGGAGGACTTGCCCAACTTCAACAGGCATGGATGGGCAGGGGGCGACTGGATCCGGTGGGCCCAGGCCTCCAGGTTTAAACAGTTTCCAAGAAATCTGATAGGCTTGGGCGCCCTCCTGTGGTCAGCGTGGGGAGAGAGGGCTGAGAGGCCGAGGAACCTTCCCTGTGGCCTTACTTCTTGGAGTGTGCCCTGGCTCACACACAGGCAGCCGGCAGCTCAGGGCTTCCTCCCCACCTACATGTCAGAATTCGTGCACGTACACACACAGACACACACCCCCAGTCCTGGGGATTGAATCCCGGGCCTTCAACTGAGCTACATCCCCAGCACTATTTTATATTTTGGGACAGAATTTCCTTGATTTGCTGAGTTCCCTGGACTGGGTTTGACCTTCCAATTCTCCTGCCTCAGCCTCCCAGAGTACTAGGATTACAGGCATGCACCACCATGCTCGGTTTCAGAATTTGGACTCTTGCCAGGATCTGCACACTGAAGTTTGAAGGGCACTGCCCTGGCCGACCCCAAGATGACCCTAGACGCTCTTCTTGCCCCATGAGGCAAAGATCACATAGCTTCCAAGCAAAGCTGATGCTGCTCAGGAGCTCTGGAGACGGCATAGCCCACATCCCATTTCCGTATCCTGGTGCTTCTTCCCAGGATGCATTTTCCCATGCCAACACTTAGGATTCTCCTCTGGGCTTTGGATGAACCTGAGTGGAGTGACTCAGCCCCCTGAGCCATCCATTCTTCTTTCCAGGCTGTTCTGGCCCAGCCCCTCAGCACACAGAGCAGAAGGCTTGAGTTGTGCACAGCTCTGCTGGCCTCACCAAGGCAACAGAACCCTGTGGTAGAGGAAATGGGCGCAGTTATGTAAACATGCTTGATGGGATTGACCCCAGGAGTGTCGCTCCAATTTTTAGATTCCCCCAATGGTTCTGCTCTGTACCTCTAGCCAGATTGCTTCTTCAAGCCATCTGGCTGTAAGGTGGATTTCTCCTGGAGCTTGACTTTTCTGGAAAAAATGTGCCGCCTTGCCTGGAGTCTGGACCTCACTTAGGGCAAATGTTAGCAAAACTTTGCATAGACATTGGGAGTGCTGGGCTGTACTTCTTTCTCTCCCTGCATCACTCTTGCCCCAGCCCAGCTGTGTGACCTCAGGCAAGTTGCAAGCAGATGAATTCATGCCTGCTGTGCCTTTTGTCAAAGGATGGCAGGCTGATGAAAGGGTGGATTTGTGCTGAGGATCTAGCTTAGTGGCACAAGTGCCTGTCTAGCAAGTGCAAGGTCCATTCCCAGCACCAAAAAAAAAAAAAAAAAGAAAGGGTGGATTTGAACTGGGCACGTGGTGCAGACCAAATGTTCGAGCCCAGCCTGGGGAATTTAGTAACTTACCCAGACCTTATTTCAAAATATAATATAGCAAGGCTCTATTTCAAATATAGAAAGGGCTAGGAAAAAAGGCTAGAGTAGCTCAGTTGAAGGCCCTTGGTTCAATCCCCAGTAGGATGTGTGTGCATATGCAGGGGTGGGAGTGGACCTGGAAGCTTTGGGAACTATGCGGCTACTGTAATTTAAGTTAAATTCCGGAAGAGCCAGGTGTGATAGTGCATGCCTATAAACCCAGCACTCTGGGAGGTGGAGGCAGGAGGATTGCAAGTTTGAGCCCAGCCTGGGGAACTTAAGCAACTGAGCAAGACCCTGACTCAAAATAAATTTTAAAAGCTTGCAGCTGTAGATCAGTGTGAAGGCCCTGAGTTCAACTCCCAGTCCAAAAAAAAAAAAAAAAAAAAATCCAAAGGACCCTAAGAGTCTTTCTAATGCTTATGAGGGCTGGAAAGGTGGAATCTAACAGTTAAGATGTACTTAGAGAGTAAGTGCCTTCTCCAGAGGGCATGTTTGGGTTTTAGACTCTGTACCCGTGGTTGTGGCCAGGTGGGGAGGGGCCTATACAATGGAACAGGTGCACCTGTGTATGTGTGAAGTGGTGTCGGGCCGGGTGCACACATGCGAAGTCCCCTGTGTCTCTGTATGCGGTGCCATGTGTGTGGTTCAGCTCTTTCTCAGCTGAGACACCTGGGTTTCGGTTTGGTGGCCTTGAAGGGGTCCCTCAGACTTTCCTGAACCTGAGTCTCCCCTGCTTTTCAGTTAGTAAGTTGTGGCGGCTGATTCCTAAGGTCTCTTTCAGCTCTGCCTTGCTCAGTGCCCAGCCTGAGCCTGGGGATTTCTGCTGCTCGTTTTACCGTCTAATTTGGTTTCTGGGTGTCTTCGCTCCTGTGGGCCAGCCGCTCCGCACATCAGCTTCTACACCTGAGTTGTGACTCAGTGAAGAGCTTGAACTTAGCTTTTCTGGAAATAGTGTGTCACTCACTGGAAAGGCAGGAAGCTTGAGCATGAAACTCGCTTTAAAAAAAAAAAAGAACACAGCAAGAAACCACAGGGCCTATCTGCCTGTCGTCATCAAGCAGACTAGAATAGTGCAGAAAACCCTAGGCGGAGAGGAAATGAACTTGAGAGAAGGGGGAACGCAGGCGGAGAAGAGAGAGGAGAGGAGGAGGGCCGGAGCCTCAGCAGGAGCTGGGGAGCCACAGCAGGAGCTGGGGAGGCCGGGTGGCGATGGTCAGAATGGAGGAGATGGCTGTGAAGCAGGGTTCTCTGCATCTCCAGCAGCAGCAGACTTTTGGCAAGGTGAGAGAGCGGCTGGGCTCGGCTGAGTGAGCCACTTCGGGAACAGCTAGAAATTCCTGGGGTGGAGGGGTGTGTGATGGCCCGACCCTTGGGGGGCCAGGCTGTCCCCCAAGTTGGACAAGCGGTCAGCCTTGGAGGGCTTCTTTCTTACTGATGTTTGTGTCCCAAACCAGGCCTCGAAGCAGTCCCCAGACGGTGCTTTTTGCTGCTGAGAGCTGTTTGTCCTCATGTGTGGGTGGGGGAGGAAGGAGGGTACTGATTCGACCCCTTGCTCTGTGTTGACTTCCTATGGGGACAGCTTGGAAGGGAGTAGAGGGAAGAGTTGGGGGGCAGAATTCAGCGGAGGTTTCTTCCCCATGTCACACCCTGGTGGGGTGGGCTTGGCTGGGTTAAGCCGGGGCCCCAGAATGTCCAACCTCCTTCTTCCCTGCCCTCTCTGAAAGAGGAAGTCCTTCCCTTGCTGACCCACACCCAGACAGCTCCCCACTCCCTCCTCATGGCTCAATCTGTCAAGCAGCGAAGCGGAAGGAGGGTAGTGGGAAGTTCCTGGGGCTGGGGCGTCCCTCAGACCCTTCCACAGAGAGGATGATGTCTTGGTCTGGGCGGACCTCTTCATTACTCCCAGCTTCTGCAACCTCTCCCCAGCCCAGCACCTGCCTTGCTGAGCATCCTGCCTGACCTCCTGCAGTGTGCATCTTTGGAGAGCATCACTGTGCTTCTCAGTGCCCTGGGCAATCTCTGCGGGCCTTGCAGGCCTCCTTGGGCACGTCAGGCTCCTCTCCAGCTTTCTAATTCCTGTGGTCCGGCCCCTGTTATCAGCTCTGCCTCCTGCTGTCCTGTGATTGTTCCCTCTCTCTCCCCATCTCTGTGTTGCCGCCTCAGTCCCTCTCTGGTGGCCCCTCTTTTCCCCTTTGGTCACCATCTCTCCATTTCTGGTGACCCCTCTTGGCTCCCTCATCCCACGCCTGGCTCAGAAGTGGCGCCGGTTCTCGGCTGTGCTGTATGGAGAGTCAGGCTGTGCCCTGGCCCGGCTGGAGCTCCATGAGGGCCTGGAGAAGTTGCGACGAGGAGAGGCTGCCCGGAAGGTCATCCGCCTCAATGACTGCCTGCGGGTGGCCGAGGGGGGCGGGGAGGCCAGCAGTCCCCGGGACACCAGTGCCTTTGTCCTGGAGACCAAGGAGCGCCTGTACCTGCTGGCAGCACCCAGTGCAGAGCGAGATGACTGGATGCAGGCCATCTGCCTCCTGGCCTTCCCTGTGAGTCACCGTGGGGTACAGAAAGGGTGGCAGCATGCAGGGGAGGGGAGTGTTAGAGACTTCCTGTGGGCAAGTGGTGGAAGAGTCCAGGTCAGGATGCCGGGGTGCTTCCTTGGTGGAGGAGCCCCAATCTAGAGGGCAGACAGAGCCAGCAGGCTGGGCATGCCCCCAAGAAAAGCTGAGGCCAGCAGAAGCCTGAGGATGGGTGCTGATGGTGAGACTGGGGCCTCCTCCCCAGGGGCAGAGGAAGGAGTCTTTGGGGCCGGAGGAGAAGGGTGGCTGGCCTCGCATGGAGGAGAACGACCTGTACGGCAGCCCGGCCACAGGTGAGGGGCAGGGGCTGTAAGAGCTGTCCTCGGGGTGTGGCTTCTGGTGGGAGGAGGTGTGGGGCTGCCCACCAAGTCTTCCTGCTTTGTGGTTGTCCCCTGCTGGCTGGCCCCTTATCAGCCTCTCCTGCTGGCTTCCGGGCACAGCCCAAGGCAGGGTGGGGGCGCAGCCTGCTTGGGGTGATACCTTTGGCTCCCCCGGTCTTGCTGGGCCCTGCTGATGGGAGAGGGTAAGGCTCAGGGTACCCAGTGAGGGCCCTGTTCTGGAGTCCTCTCTGGCTGGGTCCTGAGCTGTCTAAGAAAAACGATTACTGTCTCAGTGGGTGTGGCTGTGCAAAGTGTCCGCCACGCCACACCTGAGGCTGACGGGCGGTCCCTGCCAGAGCTCCGTGTATGTCTGCTGGGCTGGGGGCACCGAAGCCCCTGGTCCTCTATCTTCTCTTTGAGCCCTACCACAGGGTATAACATAGGAGGGCAGGTGTGGGGGGGCAAAGCAGCTGGTTCGGGGTGAGAGATGGGCTGGAGACCAGGCTGTGGCTCTGGCAAGAGTGGCAGGAAGGATGTGGGCCCGAGATTGGGGCAGTGTGGCTGAGGGCATGGTGCCTTCTAAGGTAGAAGCACTTGGCACTTGGGGGAATGGCGGGATCCAGGCCGGGTCACGGGTATGCAGGTAATAGTTTTCTAAGTACCCTGGAGATACTCACTTAGAATGGGCCATGGGGAGAGAGGGAGCTGCTGCTCATTAGCTACCTTCTTCTCTCTCTTCTCCTCCCCAGGGGTCCCCTGCAAGGAATTTGCTGTGACCATGAGACCCACAGAAGCCAGTGAGCGGTGCCGGCTCCGGGGAGCCTATACTCTGCGAACAGGGGTGAGCGCCCTGGAGCTGTGGGGAGGCCCCGAGCCAGGCACCCAGCTGTATGACTGGCCCTACAGGTTTCTTCGGCGCTTTGGGCGGGACAAGGTGAGTGAGGGACTGTCCTGGGACAGGTTGAGAGACAGGATGAGTCCAGCTGGGTGTGCTGGCGCACGCCTATGATACCAGCTGCTCAGAATGCCGAGGTAGGAGGATTGTGCCCAGGCTGGGAAACCTAGCAAGACCCTGTCTCAAAAGAAAATACTGTGCAGAGGGCTAGGGGTGTAGTTTTCCAGCTTACACGAGGTTCTGGGTTCCATCTGCAGCACAAAGAAGAAAGCAGAGAAGGAAGAGAAAGAAGGTGTCAGGGAGTGGCAGAGGGCGGTGAAAGGAAGAGAGAAGGGCTGGGGAGGAAGAAAAGTCATAGGGAAAGGAGGAAAACAGAAGGTGCTGGGGAAAGAGGCGGGGAGGGAACAGGGGTAAAAGCTGCGAAGAAGCACTTGGGCAGAAGGTATCACCCCAAGCAGGCTGAGCCCCCACCCTGCCTTGGGCTGTGCCCGGAAGCCAGCAGGAGAGGTGGAGAAGGAAGAATGAGCAGGAGCGGGGAGGCTGGAGGGAGAAGAGCGGCTGACTTTCCGAGGACGAACTGTATGCCCAGCCCCCTGCCTGGATGGAAGGGAGGGAAACGAAGGCAGAGGAGAGGAGAAAACGTGGCCAGGAGGGCTTGGGGAGGCTCAGACGGTTCCTGGTGGCAGCAGGCCGGCCCTGGGGCCTGCTAACCCCTCACTCCCCTCGCTCCAGGTGACCTTCTCCTTCGAGGCCGGCCGGCGCTGTGTCTCTGGAGAGGGCAACTTTGAGTTTGAGACCCGGCAAGGCAACGAAATCTTCCTGGCCCTGGAAGAGGCCATTGCTGCCCAGAAGAACGGTGCCCCTTCTGGGCCCCCACTTGCGCCAGCCACATCGCCTGCAGTGCCTACCGAGCTGCCCCGGCCCGAGAGCCCCTACTCCCAGCCCCATGACTCACTCCCACCACAGCCTCTGGCCAGCGCACGGGCACAGCCTGGCTCGCGGCCCCCCGAGGGGGAGTACGCCGTGCCCTTTGATGCGGTGGCCCGCTCCCTGAGTAAGAGCTTGCCGGGCATCCTGGCAGGCCCTTCCCCTCTCCTGGCAGACCCTTTGTATGACAGCATCGAAGAGCCCGCGGCCCCTGCGCCCGACCACATATACGATGAGCCTGAGGGCGTGGCCACCCTGTCCCTGTATGACACCCCGCAGGAGTCCCGGGGGCAGGCATGGAGGAGGAAGGCCACAGCACATGGGGGCCCCAGTGACCCCCAGAAGGACTTTTCTGTATTGGGCTGGCCACAGGGGACTGAGTATGACAATGTTGTACTTAAGAAAAGCTCAAAATGAAGGAGGCGTGCAGGAGTGTGGCCTTGTTAAAGTGTACCCCAGGGGGGGAGTCAGAGGCCAGGGAGGAGGAGGGCTGGGAAAGGCGAACCTCCTCTTGCAACTTCTACTAGCGAGTCCTCTGGCCACTTCAAGGGACCCCTCCCTCTGCCTCTCCCAGAGCCCAGGCTTCTTGGCCAATGAGCTGTCCCTCCCAGAGCCCTCTGAGTGAATCACCAGCCCAGAGCAGGAAGAGGGCCTTGAAGAGACCCACCCTCCTCCTACTCCTTTTCCACTTCCCCCTCTCTTTCCTGGCCCTAAAGGGAGCCTGGGTTATTTGGGGCAGAGGACAAAAGCATGTCCACAAATCGCCCTGGTTGATGTCCCCTTCTGGGGACAGCCCTGGTCCCAGGTCCCCAGGGGATGACTGCAGCTTTCTGCAGGTTTCAGATTTCTCTGTGGCATTAAAATGTTTCTGATGGATTGCTGTGTGGCCTGAGTGCTGTGGGATTGAGCTAGGGGAGAAGGAATAAAGGTAGGTAGAAAGGAGGGAGACAAGGAAATTTGTGATTTTAAAATTGTACTTTTGAAAAGATTGCAACTGTTACGGCCATATCACCCTGAATGCGCCCGATCTCGTCCGATCTTGGAAGCTAAACAGGGTCGGGCCTGGTTAGTACTTGGATGGGGAAAGATTGCAACTTCATGACACAAGGGTACTCAAGCTGTCCAATCTGCAGCCATGGCTTTATTCCTAGGCTTGTTTGTTTTTTTACTTCCAGCTCCTCAGAGCCAGATCCCTTAAAGATACTGAAGTCCGTACATTAGATTAGTTAGTAAGGTAAAGGGAATAAACCTGACCTAAGAGAGAGAGAGAGAGAAACGGATTCAAGGGGCTCAAGGAATATTTTTAGGCAAAATGTCTTAGAACACCCATCTTTTACAATAGATTTGCCCATGCCTTTCTCCACTAAAATGGGTCTTTCACCTGTAAATTGAGTGCATGCTTCCTACAGATTCATGAATTTCCATTTCCCCTTCCAAAGTTACATAAATCTCTCCAGCTCCGGACCACTTCAAGGCTCCTCTGTCGTGAGGCACGCGCTATTTTCTTTGAGTATGTACTTCTGTGTCCAACCCCCCACCCACAGTCCTGGGAACTGAATCCAGGGCTTTTCCCCACAGAGCTACACCCACAGTTCTTTTAAAATATTTTTTAAATCTTTGAGACAGGGTTTCACTAAGTCCCTAAATTGCCCAGGCCAGGCTCAAAATTGCAATTCTCCTGCTTCGCCCTCCTAGACTGCTGGAATTACAGGCATCTACCACCACACCTGGCTAAGCGTGTATGTAGTTCTTTAATTCTGCTAAATAAAACCTTTCTGGGCCCCTCACCAATACATCTTGGTATTGGGCTGAATGGAGGTCAGGGCACCTCTGGTGACCCATCCAGATGAATGCTCCAGCATTCAAGGTGACCCTTGCCCAGCTGTGGGGTTGCCCAGGCTGTGGGGTTCTCAAGCATCTGTCCACAGTGTCAGAAGCCTGTGGAGGTGGTCAGGGTGCCCAAGGAAAGACATCTGTCTTAGTCTGTTTACTATTACTATAACTGAGTGCCACAGATGGAAAAGTTTGTGAGTAAAATAGAGATTAATTTAGCTTCTGGTTCTGGAGGCTGGAGACTCCAAGCCAGTGGTGCTAGCAACTGCTCAGCATGTGGTGAGAGTCTTTTGTTTTTGACACAGGCTCTTGCTATGTAGTTCAGGCTGTCCTCGAACTCACTATGTAGCCCAGGCTGAACTCATATTCATGGGGATCATTCTGCCTCAGCCTCCTGAGGGTTGAGATTATCTGGCTGAGGGTCTTCTTGCATGACAATGTGACTGAGGCTATCACACAGAGACAAAGACAGAGCAACATGTTAGAGAGCAAAGCCACACCCTGGAAAACATCACAATGAGTGGCTTAATCCATTCAGGAAGGCAGGGCCCTCAGGACTCAGTCAACTCTCAAAGGCCCTACCTCCAAATATCATTAATGTTCCAATTTGGAGATGAAGTTTCCAAGGCATGAAATTTGAGGGGTACATTTGTCTTCTACATTTGAAGGAGGATAGAAGGCATAAAGATCACAAGGAAAACCACAACTAAAAATTGTACTTTTAAAAAGACTGCAAATGCCAGGCATGGTGGCACCTGACTGTGCTCCTAGCACTTGGGAAGCTGAGGCAAGAGGGTCACCATGAGTTTGAGGCCAACCTGGGCTGCATAGTCAGTTCAAAGACAGGCTGAACTACATAATGCGACTGTCTCAGAATGAAACCAAATGAAACCGAACCAGAGCGAGGGTCCTGGGTTCAATCCCTGGTGCCTTAGAAAGAGCAGTGTACAGAGACAGAGGTAGCTCCCACACAGAGTGGGGTCTTGTTGGGTGTGGACCCCAGAGAAGGTTCCAGAGGGATTCAGGATTTGAGAGCAGGCTGAGCTGTGCTCCTGATATGCTGAGGTTAAGACTCGGCAATGTTTACTGTCCAGCCGGAGCAGGCCCGGAGCTAGCAAGGTCTCTAGAGCCGAGGAGGGAGTGGACAGCAGACACTTGGATTCACGTGGAAGCACGTGGAGCCACAGTGCACTGGAGGAAGTGGGTGAGGGGCCTTCCTGCTCCTTCCCTCTGTGCCCAAGATCCACGTCCAACCCCAGCCTCAGGGTCCTGGAGACAGGAAGGCCACTGCCTCCACAGAGTCTGGTCTTTCCCCTCCTCAGACACGGTGGGACCTGGGAATGGGAGGGTCCCTTAGGCGAAAAAGGCTGCATTTCCAATTTCCACAGGTGGCACCCGAGGTGCTTATGCTGGCTCACCCAGCAGGGGGCAGTGTGAGCATGCGGAAAAGGCCACCAGGGGCTTAATGGCACCCGGCTGGGTTAGGGCCTGGGCCCTGAAGCAAGGACTTTACCTGCTGAGGTGGCGGCAGTTTGAGGAATCTGCATCTGTGGCCGGTCCCTTCAGACCCGCGAACCCCACTGTGGGGAGGGAACCTGCCACCCAGAGGTGAGGGGTCCCCGACGGAGCTCTTGGTCACGTTTCCTAGTCACTTTCAAGGTCGGGGGCTTCTAGCTGTTGCAGAGGCTGGTGGGGAAGTGATAGATGGCGCTGGGAAAGGCGAGGGCTGGCGGTAGGGGAAGTAGCTTTTGGGGAAGTCGGGAGGGGTCATGAAAGTATTCAACGATGGTTGAAACAGTGATCAGGGCTCAGGGCCTGTCCCAAGCTGTGATGGGGGCAGGGGTGTCATCCTGCCCGTGCAGCAGGCCTCAGCTGTAGCACTGTCACCCATGACCTCAACCCTTCATTCAACCAGGGCCACAAGCATCTCCAGTTCCAACCCCCAGCAGCTGGGGTGCTGAGAAGCTCCTCAGACCCCACCACCGTGTAGATTCCACAGAGTCCTCTTCAGACAGACACAGAAGCAAGGCCACCAGCTGTCCTGGTGAGGAAACAGACCTGCCTCAAAAGGACAGGGTGATGGAAGATGCAGGGACAGTTCCACCCAGAGAGGGTCTCTGGGCTCCGGACTCTGCTTCCTGTTGATACCATGAGAAGCTTCCTGTTGATACCATGAGAAGCTTATAAACTATGGCACTGTTCTTCAATTCTTATTTTTTATTAGCACATGTTTACAGGGCATAGTGATCACATTAATTTTGGGGAGTTGGTACCTATACATCACACATCTTAATTACTTTTTTTTGGGTCTTTTTTGAGACAGGGTCTTGCTATGCAGTTCAGGCTGGCCTTGAGCTCACTTTGTAACCCAGGCTGGTCTTGAATTTACAAGGATCCTCCTGCCTCAGCCTCCCAAATGGTGGGATTACAGGCGTGCGCCACCACAATTCTTTTCTTTTTTTTTTTCAGTACTGGGATTGAACTCATGACCTTGTGATTGCCAGGCAGGTGCTTGTGCCACTGAGCTGTATCCCCAGCCTTTTTTTTTTTCTTTAATTCCCTTCCCCTCTCCTCCATCTCTTGGTCCCTTTCCCTTTTGGGAAAGATCTATCTCCCTGTTTCCTATTATCTTTTATTTTGGGTTGCGCATAGAAGAGAAACCATGTGATATTTAAGTTTGAATGTTTGATTTATTTCACTTAGCATTATGCTCTCAGGGTGCATCTGTTTTCCTACAAATGACTCACGTTTATCCTTCTTTATGCAGAGTTGTACTAAATCACAACACTTACAAAGAGATTTTGTTTGCTAATCACAGTCATGTCATTAAATGATGGGAACATGTTCCAAGAAATTTGTCACCAGGTGTTTTCATCACGTGACCATCAAGGGACCTCTGGCTCTACACCTAGGCTATATGGTGTGTGACATCTATCTATCTATCTATCTATCTATCTATCTATCATCTATCTATCTATCTATCTATCTAATCATCTGTCTCACAAATGTATCACAATGGTATTCGTGTATCTAAATGTAACTAAACAGAACCAAATGTGTAAATAAGGACCAAAATGTATAATAGATACTGTGAAATAAGAAAAAAATGACCAAATGGGAAGGGGAACTAGGGAGGCAAAAGGGGAAAGGAAGGGAAAAGAAAAAAATGAGAAAAGAAGGAAAAATGAGAACAAAGCTTGTCTTGCTTCCCCTTGTGCAAACTATATGTTTGTGTGTGTGCGTGTGATGTGCGTGTGTTGCCTGTGGTCTGCAGAGGCTGCTCGCATGCTTATGGCCTCAGGGCCTCGGGGAGCCCTCACCTCCCTCGAGCCCTCCCTTCAGCCTCGAGAAGGTCCAGATTGCCGGGCCTCTCTGCGTGCTCAGGCTCCTCCCTGATGACTCCGGTCAAGCTGTTGCTGCCACCACCTCTCAGCTGTGATGCTAACCAGCCTCCTGCCTCCTGCCTCCTGGGCACTGATTCAATTAGCCAAGGTGCCCACCTCTTGCAAGGGCCATTTATAAAATCAACTGAGGCAGCTGGAGACCTCAGGCAGGGCAGGGCTGGCAAGCGGTGGGGGGGTGTCTGTGAGCTGCGAGGAGGAGGTAGAGGAATGAGGGGACCTGGGACTGGAGGTGGGGTCTGATCCTGTTAGGCATCGAGCTGGCTTTCCCGAGGCTGCCCGACTCCAGTCCTCCACTGCCCAGCGTGGAGCAGAGTCCATCAATCTCCAAGCTCTGCTCAGGCCTCTCTCCTCGATGCCTTCCTGCCACCCTGGAGCCCTCTCTCTCTCTCTCTCTCTCTCTTTCTCTCTCTCTCTCCCTCCCTCCCTCTCTCTCCCTTTCTCCTCCTTCCTCCCTTTCTCCCTCCCTCCCTTCCTTCCTCTTTCCTTTTGAAGTACTGGGGATCTAACTAGGGCCTTCTCACCGAACTACATTCCCAGCCCTTTTTAATTTTTGCATCAGGTTCTAAGTTGTCGAAGCTGGTCTCAAACTTTCCATCCTCCTGCCTCAGCTTTCTGCTGGGATTACCAGTGTGTGCCGCC